CTGGTCCTGCCAACGAGCTAAACCATGGTGTTTGCAGCCTCAGTGTTGTGGGTACTTATCAGGCCCCATGGCCGCGGTATCTGAACACCTCACAATCTCGTAATGTTTCTCTTCACTGTCCGCTAGGGCGGCGCTATTTCCCCCTCTCCCAGGCAGGGGGCTGAGAGCCAGAGAAAGACAAGTGACTTTTGGGGTGTTTTTTGTGGCAGAAAAAGGCTTTTAGGACAAAGTGTAAATTTTGACCAAAAAGTCATGTTCTTTGCATTTTTTCAATACAAGCTAAAAGGAAAATGAAAACTTTCATTTTCTCTTGTTTCAAATCAAATATTTAGTTTTTGAAAAAGGGAAAAGTTTCGTTTTTCATATTGTTGTTTTGTTTTTCTCCCCCTTCTTTCTTTCCCTTTTTTCCCCAGAGAAAGGGGAGGGGGGGGATGCAAAAAAATGAAACAAAACGAATGTTCAGTACTTGACTCATTTTCATTTCTTTGAAAAATTGAAATGTTACATGACAAACCTCAAAGCAAATGAATTTTTCTTTGTTTAGAATTTTGGGTGGCAGATAATGCCCATCCTTCACCCAGCCCAAGGCTGACCCCCACAAAGGTTCAGTAACCGAGCATAGTGCAGCACCGGTGTTTGGAGAGCCAGAGGGCCTGGTGGGAAAAAGGGAACTCTGATAAACCCCGCAGGGTCAGTGCCGTGGGGCCGTCGCTCCCTGTTCCTGCCCTTCGGCCCTGGGCCAAACCTCGCCGGAGTCAGGGCAAAGTCCCACTGGCTTCATGGGCTTTGCAGCTCGCCGTGTCAGCAAGGCCGGTGCAAGGAGAAGGGGTTGGATCAGGACGCAGGCGACCTGGGTTTGATTTGTGGCTGGGACTCTCCGAGCCCCTTCTGTAAAATGAGGAACTGATCCTTCCCCAGGCAGTGAGTTCTCTGGGCAGGGGGTGCCTCTCGCTCTGTGGGAGCCCATCATCGTGGGGGCCTGTACGATGTTTGCAGCCCTCTCCATGGGTGTTATCCCACGGTTAGCTCCCGCGTCACGTTCCTGTTTATCGTACAGCACCGAGCGTGGGCGGATACACACCTCACAGGTCTCTTTGCACTTGCACTGATAAATATTTACACAGACGCCATGTGCTCCCAGCTTTCACGCGGGCATCTGCCAGGCTGGGGGATGGCGCCGGTTTCACCAGCCTGCCCCATTCCTGCGTCTGGGCCGGGCTCTCTGTGCGCTTGGCCCTGCAGGAGCAACCAGTGTTAATTTGCACTTTACTCCTTGCCCGGAAAGGGAGGATGGAGGCGCGTGTGTCTGACACAGAGAAAAACCATTAATTTGGGGGGGGGGTGTCTAAAAGGTTCCTAATGAAGCATCCAGCTCCCCTGGGAATTCTGTCGGAAGCTGAACCCCTGACTCTCTCTCTGCCCCCCCTTCTCTGGTGCCTGAGCCTCACCCTCTCTACTGTATTTACCCTGACATCCCTAGGGCAGGGCTTAGGGTTACCATATTTTGAGCCTCCAAAAGGAGGACACTCCACGGGGCCCCGGCTCCGCCCCCAGCCCCGCCCCAACTCCGCCCCTT